CATACATACATACATACATACATACATACATACATACATACATACATACATACATACATACATACATACATACATACGGACATACATACATACATACATACATACATACATACATACATACATACATACATACATACATACATACATACATACATACATACATACATACATACATACATACATACATACATACATACATACATACATACATACATCTCTAGAGATTGTATGCTACAGATTAGAAGGATTAACCAAATTCGCAATTCATTGGACGTTTCCACACTGCAGACTTTGGCTCATGCATTTGTCCATTCGCGAATTGATTATTGTAATAGTTTGTTTTATGGATTACCCCTGAGGTCTACTGCGATATTGCAGTCTCTACAGAATCGTATGGCAAAAGTAGTGGTTGGTGGTTTACGGTATGATCACGTGACGCCCATAATCAAAAGTTTGCATTGGTTGACAGTCGATAAAAGAATAATCTACAAGATATCAGTCTTGTTGCATAAATCAATGAATGGCCTGACACCAGCATACTTACAGGATAAATTTAAAAGGTACTCAGTAGATTCTTATGGGTCTGGTCTAAGATCGTTTTCTGCGAATCTGTTAAAAGTTCCGACTGCCAATCTATGTATTGGTTCACGTAGTATTGCGGTTTCTGGACCAACTGTCTGGAACAGCCTTCCCGTCCATCTCAGAGATCCAGGATTGTCCATTACTCGCTTTAAAAAAGAACTTAAAACATTTTTGTTTTCTTATGAGAGATGATGTATGTGTGTGTGTGCGTGGGTGAGTTTGTGTGTGTGTGTGTGTGTATATTTAATTTCTTTTGATTTAAAAACGGTTTTATTGTCTTGCCAATTGATGCTTGTTTTTTTTATTAGATAGTCATCTTATATATCGGTTGTTTCTATTAATTGTTTTCATTTCTGACTTTACGTATTATTATGTATTATCATCTACCGTCGGATTATTGATTTATCCATATTTCATGTTGTGTCTAACGTTGAGTTCGCTTTGAAGTTTATTTAATTGGCGTTACATAAACTCTTGTTATGATATATATATATATGTGTGTGTGTGTGTGTGTGTGTGTGTGTGTGTATGTGTGTGTGTGTGTGTGTGTGTGTGTGTGTGTGTTAAGAGTCTTTTCCATAATAGCTGATTTATATATGTGTCTTTTTTCTTCACTGGATTTCAAAATGGTTTGATTGTCATGACAGTCGATTCTTTATTTTTGATATTTGTTTATCACCTTATATCAATTGTCTCTGTTTTTTGTGTTTCGTCTTGGGTATTTGATTTTGCTTATTATTATGTATTATCCTCTAACTATTGATTTTTGATATGTTTAATGTGCGAGAGCGCTTTTGAATTTTATCTAATTAGTGCTATATAAATTATTGATATTATTATATACATAGACATTTATCATCAACAATCTGTATTTTCATCCAACTGTATTTTATTTTACTTCATTTATTTATTTTATTATTTTTTAAATGCAATGGAAGCTTTTCATTTGCTGGAGGCATAGGAACGTCAGTTCGCGCCTTTCTATTTTCTGTTTATGTTATGTTATGTTATGCTATTCTTTTTTTTTTAATTTCCCCTAATTATATTCAATTGCC